GGTACATAACATGAGGGGAGGTAATAACAAAAGGGGGAGGTACATAACATGAGGGTGAGGTACATAACATGAGGGTGAGGTACATAACATGAGGGTGAGGTACATAACATGAGGTGGAGGTACATAACGAAAATTGAGGAATAAAGGGGTATACATTAAAATGGGTGAGGTAATAAAACATGAGCGAGAAAAGTACATAACATGAGGGTGAGGTACATAACATGAGGGTGAGGGTACATAACATGAGCGTGAGGTACATAAAATGAGGGTTTGGTAATAACATGAGTGAGGTACATAACATGAGCGTGAGGGACATAAACATGAGGGTGAGGTAACATAACATGAGGTGAGGTACATTTAACATGAGGTGAGGTAAAATAACATGAGCGGGGAGGTAAATAACATGAGGGTGGGTAATAAAATGAGGGTAGGGGACAAAATGAGCGTGAGGTAATAACATGGGGTGAGGTAACATAACATGAACGTGAGGTACATAACATGAGGTGAGGTACATAACATGAGCGTGAGGTACATAACATGAGCGTGAGGTACATAACATGAGGGTGAGGTACATAACATGAGGGTGAGGTACATAACATGATGGGTGAGGTAACATAACATGAGGGTGAGGTACATAACATGAGGGTGAGGTACATAACATGAGCGTGAGGTACATAACATGAGGTGAGGTACATAACATGAGCGGGTGAGGTACATAACATGAGCGTGAGGTACATAACATGAGCGTGAGGTACATAACATGAGGGTGAGGTACATAACATGAGGTGAGGTACATAACATGAGCGTGAGGTACATAACATGAGCGTGAGGTACATAACATGAGCGTGAGGTACATAACATGAGCGTGAGGTACATAACATGAGGGTGAGGTACATAACATGAGCGTGAGGTACATAACATGAGTGAGGTACATAACATGAGGGTGAGGTACATAACATGAGCGTGAGGTACATAAAAATGAGTGTGAGGTACATAACATGAGGGTGAGGTACATAACATGAGCGTGAGGTACATAACATGAGGTGAGGTACATAACATGAGGGTGAGGTACATAACATGAGGTGAGGTACATAACATGAGCGTGAGGTACATAACATGAGCGTTTAGGTACTACATGAGGGGGAAGGTACATAACATGAGGTGAGGTACTAAAATAGGTGAGGTACATAACATGAGGTGAGGTACAAAATTGGGGAGTACATAACATGAGGGTGAGGTACATAACATGAGCGTGAGGTACATAACATGAGCGTGAGGTACATAACATGAGGTGAGGTACATAACATGAGGTGAGGTACATAACATGAGCGTGAGGTACATAACATGAGGGTGAGGTACATAACATGAGGGTGAGGTACATAACATGAGGTGAGGTACATAACATGAGGGTGAGGTACATAACATGAGCGTGAGGTACATAACATGAGGTGAGGTACATAACATGAGGGTGAGGTACATAACATGAGGTGAGGTAAAAACTGAGCGTGGGTACATAAAAGGGGGGTGAGGTAATAACTTTAGGTGAGGTACTAACATGAGGGTGAGGTACAAACATTGGGGGGAGGAAAAAACAGAGGGGTGATACATAAAGAGGGGAGGTACATAAAAAAAAAAAACAAAATTTTTTTGGTGAGGGAAAAAACATGGGTGGGTACATAAATGAGGGGGGGGTACATAAAAAGGGGGTGAGGGTACATAACATGAGGGTGAGGTAATAACAAGGGTGAGGTACATAACATGAGGTGATTTCTAACATGGGGTGGAGGTACTAACATGAGGGGTGAGGTACATAAATTTGGGGGGGAGGTCATAAATGAGGTGGGTCATAAAAATGAGGGTGAGGGTACATAACATGAGGGAGGTCATAACATGAGGGTGAGGGACATAACATGAGGGTGAGGTAATAAAATGGGGTGAGGTCATAAATGAGGGTGAGGTACTAACATGAGGGTGAGGTAATAACATGAGGTGAGGGACATAACATGAGGTGGGTAACATAACATGAGCGTGATTACAAAACACATGACGGAGTAAAAACATAGCGGGAGGTAAAATAAGAGCAGAGTACATAACATTGGAGTTAGGTACAATAACATGACGTGGTAGGTACATAATCTTAACTTGAGGTACATAACCAGGAGCGTGAGGTACAATAACATAGCGTGAGGTACATAATATGTGGCGTGAGTACTAAACATGAGCGTGAGGTACATAACATGAGCGTGAGGTACATAACATGACCGTGAGGTACATAACAAGAGCGTGAGGTACAATAACATGAGGTGATGTCATAACAGGAGCGAGAAGGTACATAACATGAGCGAGAGGTACATAACATGAGTGTGAGGTACATAACATGAGGTGAGGTACATAATATGAGCGTGAGGTACATAACGTGAGCGGAGTACAAAAATGAGCTGAGGTACTAATTTGAAAGCGTGAGTACATAACATAGCGTGAGGACATAACATGAGTCGTGAGGTACTTAATATGAGCGTGAGGTACATAACATGAGTGAGGTACATAACATGAGAGGTGAGGTACATAACATAAGCGTGAGGTACATACCATGACGGGAGAGTACATACATGATCGTGGAGGTACAATAACATAGCGTGAGGTACATAACATGAGGTGGAGGTACATACATGATCGTGAAGGTACATAAACATGAGGTGAGTACAACATGAGCGTGAGGTACATAACATGAGGGTGAGGTACAATAAACATGAGGGGAGGTAGAGGGGGGGGGTCATAACATAGGGTGAGGTAAAACATGAGGGTGAAGGTACATAAACATGAGGGTGAGGTACAAAACAAGTTTGAAGTACATAACATAGCGTGAGGTACATAACACTAACAATACTTTACTACACACATCACTTGCGACCTCACCCTATCAACTACACTTCTCCAACCACATCTACACTTCTCCTACAATATCTACACTTCAACAACATCTAACACTTCTCCAACAACATCTACACTCTCCAGAATATCTACACTTCTCCAACAACATCTACACTTCTCCAGCAATATCTACACTTCTCCAACAACATCACACTTCCCAACAACATTCTACACTTCTCCTGCAACTTCTATCACTTCTCCAACAACATCTACACTTCTCCAACAACTCTACACTTCTCCAACTACATCTACACTTCTCAGCAACATCTACACTTCTCCACAACATCTACAACTTCTCCAACAACTTCTACACTTCTCCAACAACATCTACACTTCTCCAACAACATCTACACTTCTCCAACAACATCTGCACTTCTCCAACAACATCTACACTTCTCCAACAAAATCTACACTTCTCCAACAACATTTACACTTCTCCAACAACATCTACACTTCTCCAACAACATCTACACTTCTCCAACAACATCTACACTTCTCCAACATCATCTACCCTTCTCCAACAACATCTACACTTCTCCAACAACATCTACACTTCTCCTACAACATCTACATTTCTCCAACAACATCTACACTTCTCCAACAACATCTACACTTCTCCAAGAACATCTACCCTTCTCCAACAACATCTACACTTCTTCAACAACATCTACACTTCTCCAACAACATCTACACATTCTCCAACAACATCTACACTTCTCCAGCAACATCTACACTTCTCCAACAACATCTACACTTCCAAAACATCTACAACTTCTCAACAAACATCTACACTTCTCCAACAACATCTACACTTCACCAACAACATCTACACTTCTCAACAACATCTACTAACGTTTTCCAACAACATCTACACTTCTCCAACAAACATCTACACTTCTCCAACAACATCTACAATTCTCCAACAAACATCCCACACTTACTCAGCAACATCTACACTTCTCCAACAACATCTACACTTCTTCAACTGGGAGGAAGGGCAGAGTAAACAGTTTAGTTTAGTTTAACATGTTTATTATGCACCACATACCCATCCTGTGGGCGGTAGTCACCACATACCCATCCTGTGGGCGGTAGTCACCACATACCCATCCTGTGGGCGGTAGTCACCACATACCCATCCTGTGGGCGGTAGTCACCACATACCCATCCTGTGGGCTGTAGTCACCACATGCCCATCCTGTGGGCGG